TTGACTGCACATTCGCCTTCTCCATTTATTTAAGTATGACTTGAAGCTTAAGCAGTAGTAACATTGAGAAGTAGAGAGATTAAAGTTATAGGGAAATAGAAATGAAGAAGTCTTATTAGATAATGTAATGTTAATATCACTGTGTATTCTTGCTGGAATGTAGACATATTTTAAAGAAATAATATTGAGAGAAATATCTGTAGTTTATCTATGACTACTTTTTATTTGCTATGGTTATCTCATAATTAATTTTAATTTGTTATTCTGTAACTGTATCGATCTGAAAATAAATTATTCCAGTAATTTTCCTCTCTCAAGAACGGTAAAATTAGTAAAAAAAATCTGATGTGGACATCATATGACTTCCTCGTACGGCCTGCTAAATTATACACGTTTTTGCTGCATTTCATTTAAACGTATTTCCTCCAATTTCATTATACATATATTTCTAATTCAGTTATTTCAGTTCTTACTTCTCAGCAAGGCAAAACTACATTAAAACCTCAAAATATCTTTATTAAAAATTCAAAAGTATAAAAAAACATAAAACACCAAATGCAGTTAAAAATATTCAAAAAAAAAATTACAACTAAATTAGAGCTTCTGCGCAAAACCGAGCTAGCGTGCAAGAAGGTAGATTTTTCGGTGCACAAAACTGAAAGTTTACTTTTGGTCTCACTCGGCAAGAAGACACTGAACATGGTGCAGAGTTTGATTTACTTCACTATTCTGCTAAAAGTGTTTCAAATGTAACAAATAGTGAGCTCGTTAGGTCTAAAGCCACCTAAACCTTTAAATTGGTGATAATTCTACAACTATTGCATGCAGATTAACTAAAGGCATAAAAGCCTTAACCGGAACATAAGAACAACTTAATTCACTCACTTTTAAATAAAAAAATGCACAATTTACCAACATATAAGAATAGAAAAGGAGCTCTGAGAAGTAACAGATTAGGTACATATATATACATGTGTGTGTGTAAAAAATAAATGTGATGAGTCCTCGAATTCAGTTGTGTCAGCGTCATCTTTATGCATCTACGCTTTCCAGAAATTAAAGTACCGATGTTCTTCTATAAGGTATTTCTCCCACCTTGTTAGCATACCTTCGTGGTGTAATGGGCAGTACACTCGGAGCGCATTCGAGAGGTCCTGGTTCGGCATTGCTCATTTTTCATCTCTTCTGCTTCGAAATAACCTAATGCCTCTACAGTTCCGTTTGGCCGTGAGTACAAAAACAGTTCAACCTCATTTCGGACGTCCTATGTAGAATGGGAGATGGCACCTGCAAAATGTATCTGCAGGTGTGAAAAAAGGTAAAGGTCCGAAGGAATGATGTCGGAACTCATAGGTCTTGCATTATTTTGATGGAACATTACCCTTTTGTGCCGGAACTCATTTCGGTTTTCCTTGATAGCAGGGTCAACACGGACTACCATCTCGCTGTACACCTTAGTGTCGAGGATTTTGCTTTTTACTAGATACTATTTGTGGATAATACCACGGAAATCTCAGAAGATGCAAAGCATGATATTTTTGTTAGTCAAACTGCGCTTTACGACGCTGCCGACGGGCTCAAAGTGTACAGACCAACCGTCTTTTCACTCTGTGTTGTTGAAGTAAATCCACGGTTCATCAAGTGACGATCCGGTTCAGAATTTTGCCCTTGCGTTGATATTTGAGCGGATTAGTGCAGGCCCGAACACGTCTGTCCTTATCTGCTTGAGTTAGCTCATGCGGCACCCAGGGATTGAACTTGTACGTCAAGTGTACGCGGTGCATAGCGCAATCAATGGACATGGCACTAACGTCTAACTCCTTAAAAAGTTCTCGAGTGATTACTGTCGCCTTCGACATGCTCTTGCAAGCGGGCCTCATCAACATCAGAAAGCCTGCCAGAGCGCTGTGCTTCTTGAATGCCTTCTTTTTGAACTTTATGTACCAAACCTTCACAATGATATACGATACAACATCAGTACCTAAAGCTTGACGTGATTTGGTGACATTCTGTAGCTGACTTTTTTGCAAGAAAATTATGGTTCTAATGTGGTGGCTTGATAGTTCTATTTCAGACACCTTATACTTATTTGTGAAGATATTTCTTTAAAAATTTCACAACAGTATTCTAAAGCAAGTCTCTTTTAAATGCCAAAGATCAATTGAAAAAATATGATTAAACACGCCAACGTGAACTGTTTGCGTATGCGATATTTGCTGTGGCGGGAAACTTTCATTAAACCCGATATTAACCAGGCAACATTCGGGCCATTTTTTCTCCTACCTTTAAAAAGTACTTACACCCATTTCAGTTATGAACTACTAGGGTACATGCAATATTCTTAGCTGATGTGTCTTAATATATATCGGTGAAACTAAGAGAACCTTTAAATTACACACTAAGTGCGAGGCATTAGGTTAGGAAAAAACCAAACACATGAATTCTCCATTTCCCAAGATTGCTGGTCAAACAAATCCCATTTCTCTTTCCTCAGTATCCAAAATTATTCAAAACAAAATCTTAATTTGACAAATAAATATCCTACAGGCGTTTGACTTTCATTAAAACTTTTCAGTTATAGTTAATGATAATCAGTTCTAATCTATCTTTACCTTCAACTTTTAAAGATATTATTTTATAGTTACTTTAAATTTTTTTCAATAGATAAGGCAAATGATTCAATTTCTTCTTTCTTGCTGGAATTTTCTTCAAAATATCTCCTTTTCTCTGCTGTTATCGAGTGAGCATGCGATAGTTTTTCGCCAGTTTCACTACTGTAGCTGAAAACGAAGGTTCTATTTAGCCATCAAAACTAGCCGTGCAAATGTATACAATTTATACTGATGTTTTTTGCTTTAGAATTTGAAACATTAGTTCAGCAAGAATTCGAGCCTAAGGCAAATGGGTGGCTGTATGGATGCTTCTTATGTGCTTTCACAGTGTGAAACGGGAATAAAGTCAGTTTCTCTGAGGAAGTCATCCAGTAAGGCATCCTTCACTTTACAGACGACCTTTGTGGGCTTTGTTTTATCCAAATATCCTAATCTAACCTAACGGACCAGAAACATTATTGTAAGTCTGAAATATTTCTCCCCTCTAGCATTTTGCGTTTTTGTAATGGAAGTATAAGTATGTGAATTTTACATTGTATTTAACAGATTTTGATTAACAGAAATTTAGAATAATAGCCTTTTTTTCTATGTGGTTAAATTTTTCTGTCTGCAAGCGGGACAAGTGTAATTAAAAGCGCAAGTGAGAAGAAAGCATACAAGTCCGCAGCAAATACTTAAGTCAAAATTTTGCTGTTAAAATTTTCCAATAGCTAACTTTTTTATTGATACATGTAGCAAAATTAGAAATTTGTAATTTTTCCAAAATTATATAATTTGACATATGAATGGAGAAGGAACAATAAATTAGTAGCTCATTTATCTTATTAATAGCACATCTAAAATACATAGTATTATGTATTAGGAGTTTTTAGTGTCATCATTTTTCATCAGAAAATAAAATGTGAAAGTAACAAATCTGCATAATCTTATAAAAAGCTAAATCTGGTGACATATATATCCTGCCTTGCAAGTAGTCGGCATAGAAGACATACGAATGAGGTATCGATTAATAGTCTGGCAACCAGAAACGGATTTATGGTATCTCTCAGGAAAAAATTACGAGAGAAAAGTTTTTCCAACATATATCCAAATCACTAATAAATTCTTAAGGAACAATAAACGTACTTATGCCCTAAGAAGAAGAGTTTCCAAAAATTCAGGTGATCTCCTGTTTCCTAAATTCGCCATCGTTAGCAAATTTATGAAACTGGACTTAAAAATGTAATGATATAAATGATCCTTACATTTGCAGATCTGATATGGGATAGAGGTTAAATTTTAAAAAAGATATTTAAAATTCTTCTTTTCTTTTCTTAAAATTAAAACTCATCAGTTAAAATTTTAATTTTTGGTACAAAATTCAGTTTATGATTAGTTCAATTTATTCTTGGTTATCCAACATTATATTATGACATATAAATGGAGGAGGAACAATAAATTAGTAGTACAGACTTATGACATACCTGTATTCTGTATTAGGAGATAATATTATGCTAATTTTTATAGATAAGATGATGGTTTAGATTGAAATTTCAAAATTTTCGTCGATTTTCTTAAAGCCAGTTCCGTTTGATGGCATCCAAATTACTTATTGATTCATCTCGCTGTATTTTATTCTTTATAAACATTATAACCACAGTAATATATTACAGATATAATATATATATATAATATGCATCTATTAATTATTTTTATATTTAATAACTAAAACAGAGGTAGGTATTTTCAGTCGTTTTAAACGATGTTCCTTAAGATTCCGCTAATAATTACCTGACTTGTCATTTGCTTTACTTTAAATGTTTCTAAAGTGTTTATAATAAATATAAAAAATTTAAGTTAATTTTTCAAAGAATATATAAGAATTTTCACTGGAAGGGTCAGGAAAAGAAACTAAATTGAAGAAATTTAAAAAAAAGTATAGTTTCAACTGTAAATAGATCTAATGACATAATTTAAATATGAAACTTTCATTAATGAAAAAAAGTGTATAATTCATTTGGCATCAAGTCATTCAACATACAGTGGAGTGTTTAGCTTTTTAAAGCCCGTTTCTTACAAAACTTTAATTCAGAAGGACAATATTTACAATTCTTTTTTGTTAAGGTCATACCATTTGATACATATTTTTGGTCATAACAGACACTTTTTAATTTTCTCTTTTCTTTTTCTTAATACACAAACAAAAAAATTTAACACTATTTTAAGCTACATAAATACTTTTATATACATTTTACAGCTGTGATGCCATTCATATCTATTTACAGTCAACGTTGAAAATATGTCCACGACAATTATTTAAATTATTTTTCTGAAATGACCAATTTTAATAATTATTTTCACGAAACATCGATTAGAGATTAGAAACGGCATTCCGATTCCCACACTCACCTTGTGCAGCAGCCGCAGCATCTGTCGACAATCCTAGAAACAGTCCAGGTAGATATGTCAACGTGAGGAGAAGCACTAAAATTGCAACAGCCATGTTTAAGTATTCTTTTACCGTCTACGGACAAATAAATTGTTTTGTGGGATTAAAAAGATTAAAAGCTCTTTTGAAGGCAGTAAATGGAAATAAAACTAAAGAGAGATCTTGGCTGTGGTGCTCTTTCGTCAAGCTCTGTATCGAAGGTGAGATTCAGCTCCCCTGCCTCTTGGAGGCGCTGTCAGCTGCTGTCATGCCCCTAGTATTTGAAGGATCAAGGATTGCCATTGGCTGGCGCCTCTCACATGATTAGGACAAAGGGATCGTCTATAAATTGCTTATAATGAAAAAGTGCACTAGGAGATCTTTAATTCAGTAATTTTGTCTCCTTTTTTATGCTAATTGAGGTTTTGTTTCAAACTTAGGGAATCAGTATCTTCGTTATTCTGAAAAGGAATATTTACGCTTCAATTTTACAGTAATTGCTCCTTTACATGTTCCTTTACATGATTTTAAAATATATAATATGCAATATATAATATCATGTAAGTTCCTTTACATGATTTAAAAATATATACAGGGGGACTGCTCATTCGTGGTACAAACTTTGAGGGCTGGCACAGGACACTCTAACAATCCCATTTTGTGTAAGAATGTATGGTCACAAGTGAAACGTCGAAGCACAAACATAAGAAAGAAAAGATGATAGGGACAGTGTTTTATTTTCATAACCTCGTTTACAAGTGGATATTAATTTAAATGTGATTAACTTAAAAAATTAATTTATGAAATTAATTAATTTACAAAATTAATTTAAAATTTAAAAATTAATTTAAATTAATTTACAAAATGTGATTGTTACAGTGTTCTGTACTAGCCCTCAAAGTGTGTACATGAATTAGCAGTCACCTTGTAAATAAAGTTAAGATAACAATAATGGAACTTAAGTTTAAAGGAAATATTTCGCATGAAATCATTAAAAGAAGTGTCTTTCAAAATTACTTTTTACAAATGTGTGGCTTTTATATCTATTTACAAATGCGTGGCTTTTATACCTATATTGTACTTTGTTTTAGGATTTTGTAGAATGATTAAAAGTGATGATGCCTTCCCCCTGCTCCCCATAAAATGTCAACCGTACTGCTTAATATCTACGATATTAAGTGGGGACCTAAAAAGAATGCAGTCAAAAGCGTTCGCTGTAAGCGATAATGATGCAATGCAACACACATAAAAGTCAGTTAAAATAAATGTAAATAAATTTTCAAATTTATAAAAATTAGTGGAAAAAATTATCATAAATTAAAAAAAGTGTTCTTAAACATAATATGATTCAACATGCTATAGATAAAAGATGGAAGAAACAACTTTCATTCCCAGTTTTCCAAGAAAGACACGGTAGCTTTATTTAGACATCTAAACGGAAGTGACTGTTTGCGAGATCAGCTCTGCAGAATTGAAGTGGTGGATTCCCCAAACTGTATTTTGTGCGACTCCAATCAGCTTATGATTTTTGAACATTTAAATAATTGTATTGCACTTTCTGAATTTGAAAATGGGCATTTTTAATAAATACTAAAGAACTCGTGGCTTAAGCGCTAATCTTCGGCATTTGGTAAAAAAAAAAAATAAATTTAAAGAAAGTCATAAAATTAGAAAAGTTGATGCAAAAAGTAGAGGAAATTTGAATATTTATTTGCATTACTTCATTTAACTTAATGTAATGCTAGTACACATCTTTTACATGAATGTTTTATAACAAATATTTATTTTTGTGTTTATTAAAAATTTAAACAACCTTCATCTTCAGTGTGAGAGAAAAATTTAAAAAAAAAATCTGAAAGGTTTCAGATTTTAAACTACGTCCAAAGGGGCATTTTTAACGTTTTGTATGTTAGCTTTATTTATTAAATATTACGTTCTTTGCACTGAAAACATAAAATTCAGTTCAACAGCAATGTCACAAAATAATTTTAAAAATAAGCATGCCTTTAGAATTTCCTATACATAGTTCAGCGCCCTGGGGATGAAAAGGTGTTTTTCCCCCGTAGAGTGTTGCCATTGCTCGCTTTTAAATTGTAGGTTTTGTTAATCAAACATTCGTTAAAGTTTTACAAAATATGAAATCGTTAATAAAAAAAATTACAAATTTCAAATTTGGGCTTTCAGATGCCCATATTCGCAGTAGGATTACGTCATTCAAAATTGGATGGCTCTAGGTATACCGTTGTATCACAAAGCCAGAAAGATACATACATTTATGCAAATTCTTTATTATTTAATTTCTTCAAATATAATACAGAGCGATAGTATTTGGTGCCAGCGATTTGAAAAGTTATTTGCCGTTTATAGGGTTCCGACGTAAAATCGCAAAACGAAAAAATAGTCCTTCAGGGATAAAGCCCCTTTGGTCTAATAATATTGCTAAATGTGAGTATATTTATTAATCCAAACAGATTTTCTATCATCTATATTTTCAAAAACGTATTTAATCAGTTAACTGCTTCAGCTTGTAGACTCATTAGGTTTTTTGAAACAGGAGGCGTGAAAAATGTGCAATACCCTCTCCGGGACTCGACCTTTAGACCTATCGAAAACCCGTTGGATATGCTGCCAATTACACCACGGAGGTATGCGGAAAGGCGACAGAAAATACCTTATAAGCTTAGTTGATTCTTTTACATTACATTTATTTTTAATGGTTTATTCACTTCGAATTTCTATTAAATTATTTCAATTGTCATTAGTAAAACGACTTCTTTTTATGCTAAACATATCTCCAATACTTCAAAATTATAAAAATTTGGAAGCTTACCTCATCTTTAATTCCTTGCAATTTTAAATGATTCAAATATGAAAATAAGAGATACTGAAATCTTATCGAAATGAAGACTGTTATAAACCTCCACGTCCACCAAAAAATAGACGTAAAAAATTACGTCTATTTTTTATCAGAAACGTAGAATTTAAGCTAAGTTCTGATGCGCTTCATCTAAAATCACACGCTTCCAAATAATTTAAAGGTACAGTTTTAAACATGTAAACAGTTCCTGGCTTACAAACGATCCTTTTTCGGTGACTTATTACTTACGAACGTTATTCCCATAGCAATATCATTCCGAAGTGAAAACACAATATTAGAACAGAAAAATTGCAACATCCGATTTCATTATTTTGACTTCATTTATTTTTTCGTTCTGAGCATTTGTTTCAGAAATCTGTCCATTACTGTGCGAATATTTATCGATTGTATTCTGAAGATTGTATTCTGAAGTGAAAAAATATTCACTTCAGAATACAATCTCCGAGTCATATTACTTTTTAATTTTATACATCTTATATACTCTTTAATGACACGCCTCGTTTTTCAAATGTATGTAAAAAAGCATAAAATAATAAAAATTAAACATAATTGTGATAACTACACTGTAGTTGAAAATTTTAGAATTTAGGAATGGCAATCATCTGTCACTTTTTTTCCAACAGACAGTTTAAGTACTGGTTATCCTATCTACGGACTTCCCTTTCTAGTCTTAGCAACAAAACAGGGATATAAAGCATCACATAGTTTCGCTTCTTATAAGCATGCAACTGATGATATGATATTTCTGAAAAGTTTTTATTCGAAAAAAACTTCGACAATTCCCGATAATCCGCGAAAATAATAGAGGAATTTGCGCTACGATAAATCTGCTACCCTAATTATTATTAAAATAATCGAGTTATCCTTTTCTTTTGTTACGTAATTCTCATACTGTGATGAGATAGTTTCCTCGCAAAGCGTTGATAGGGTTGCCAGAAAATAGCATGGAAAGGCAAGGTCGCCACATTTGGTGCAAAATGGTCCATTTGGCGACAAAATTCGCGATATGCCATAGACGGAGAGAGAACATTCTAGAACGCATTCTTAACTGTTTTTCTCAGGAATGTTCTCGAAGGTAGGTTAAAAGCTATACATACACTGCCTGTACGCGGAGTGTAGTAGTATCTTGAATTCAGTAAAGTAGTAGTGACTTGAGTTCCGAGATTAGCTTAGAGAACGATCGACCGAATCGGGAGCTGTACTTTAGTGCTTTGCCGTGAAGCTGTCTTCACCGTTATAGCCCTGATAGCCTGAAGGCTGTGTTGCTGATTGTTTCAGCATGTTTATCGTAGTTTTTTTACGACTGTAAAGGTGTCTTTGGAACTGTCCTGAGTAATTATTGGAGAATAAATTGTGTTTTGATGCTTCATCAGGTGTTGTTATCAATAACTCCAAATCCACGAAACCGTAGAACTCAACATTTTGTTTGTTTAAAGAAGTTATAAAGTATACGTTGTAATGTAAAATCAAAAATAAGCAGTATATTCTTATGCAATGCAGAAGTAATAGTGATCTCTTTTATAATTAAAATTTAATTTATGCACTACTAATAGATATTTTCCATTCTAGATGATTAATATTTCTACCTGTAAATTTCAAACATATCAGATTAAATATAATCATTTTCTTTAGATAATGCACTTCTTGTGCATCCTCTATTAAAACGTTTCAATAATGAATTGCAGACGTAATCAAAAATGTAAATTGGCGGAGGCAATTTATTTATTCTTTATTATGAAAATCCCTCTTCATATGAAATTTTCAGCTTTTAATCCACCGCGCAACCAATGAAATATTTTCCGAAGCAGTCACAAATTACTCCACTGATGAAATTTCAAAGCGGCAGAGTAAAAAGAATTATAAATGCGAATTTAATTTAATTAACGAAAGAAAAGAATATAATTTCGATAACAATTCCATGAAAGAGATATAAAAGAGAATCCTCTTACTATCTAAATGAATGCTGTTTCGAACCGCATGGAACTTCAAATATAAAAGAAACCATTTTCTCCGTATTCAAAGAGAGCCTCTAGGGGTTTAAATTGAATTAAAAATTAAAAATTTCGAATTTTAATCATTCTTCAACTTAACACTAGGATATTAAACTAAATAGTTTAGAAGATGGGTAAGTGCCTAATAGGAAGATCTGATACATTGGAAAAGGCTTTGCTCAAAGTATAAATTAGTACTGAATAATTTTAAGCAGATGATAGCATTAATTTGCTAACGAATGTTAAAAATTATAATTTAAAGTTACAAAAACATCATGTTATTAAAGTAAGATAGATAAAAGAAAAAAAGAA